TGTCCCTTCTTTTTTTTGTATTTTCTTTTCTTGTTTTTTTTGACTTTGCTTTTTTGTATGTTGATTTGCTGTTTTTTGTATTTTTATTTTGTCTTTTGTTTCTTTTGCTTGATGTTTTTGATTCTTGTGTGTATTTTGTTGTTTTTTTTCCGGTTTGGAATTTTTTGAAAAGTGGCAAGGAAACGGCAAAAAAACGGCGACCGGAAACGGCCAAACAACGGCTCCAGGATTGGACCCGGAGCGGGAAACCCGTAAAACAGCAGCGACGGAACCGGTACCAAAAACACGGCGTCGGAAGCGGCAAACGAAACGGGCAAATCGGAATCGGTAAAAAAAACGGCCCTCTCGTTTCCAGGGCCCACTTAAGGTCCAAACCCCCCTCGCTTGTCGCCGATCCCCGGGTTGGGGGCTCGGCATGGCAGATAAGGGGCCACATGCGAACCCTACCCCTACCCCCCACGATTTCTGGGGGGGAGGGTGGGGTTCACTTCGCTCGGGAGCTCCCGAGTCTTCTACTCTCGTAGCCCTCAGGGCTCTCAGGTCCACCAGACATGTTCTGTATGCTGCCTGGTAGCGGTCATTGCCGCCCGGGGGGGGAGGGGCGGGCAACGATGACGATCGGGCGGGGTGGGGCACGTGATGGCGGGAGTGCGCTGCGATCGCGTGGGTCGCGTGGGCACCAGCATGGAGGTTGGGGGGGGTCAGCCCCCCCCCGTACGATCGTTACCGTTACCCGCGGGGGGATTGGCCCGGGTAGCGATCGCTATTCGCCAGCAAACAAGGGGCACGCGCGCCATGGCTCCTGCACAACTAGGAGGGGGGAGAGGAGGGGAGAAGGAGGACGAGAAAGAGGACAAGGAGGAGGAAGAGAGGGAGGATAATGAAGGACCAAGGGGCGGGGGAAGCAAACTGCGACGGAGAGGATAAGAGGGAAGACGGGGGACGAGGAGAGAGTATCAGGGGGGGGAGGACGAGCATTGAGGAGGACGAACAAGGAAACGGAACATTGGGAGCAGGAAGCGGGGGAAGGAGACGAGGTGGGGAAAGAAGGGCGAGCAGAAGCAGGCACAGAGGCGGCGACGGCGAGCAGGGGCGAGGGGGGCGAACAGGACGAGGGTTCGGGACTGGCGGGCCAGCCAGCCAGGAAAAGAGCGGAGCTCGAGACACGCGGTGCAAGAGAATGAAGAGGCCGTGGCGGAGGGGGCGGGATGCCGTGCCGTGGGAGCAGGGGCCTGGGCCGTGCCTTGGGAAGGAGGGGGAGTCTGCTGGAAAACCGTGGCGGAGGGGGTGGGGGTGTGGGAGGGCGGTGTCCTTGGCGGGGTGGGGGAGGTGCCAGTGCCGTGCGTGCGTGCCGGAATATGGTGATCGGGGCGGAGGCAGCAGTGGGCTGCCGGGAAACCGTGCGAAAGGGAGGGGGCGGGGGGGGGCTCCATCGTCCTATCTGCAGGGTGCCGGTGCCGTGCGCGCGTGCCGAAGCAGAATGGTCGGGGCGGAGGGGGCACTAGGCTGCCGGGGAACCCCGGAAGAAGTAGGTGGGGCGTGGGGGGCCGTGTCTTTTGTGCAGCGGGACCGGTGCCGTGCGTGCGTGCCGAAGTCAGGTGGTGAGGGCGGAGTGTGCAGGGAGGTGCCGAGGCCATGCGTGCCTTGCCGAAGTAAAACGTGCTGGGCGAAGGGGGGGCAGTATGGGCTGCCAGGGGCCCCCGGCAGGTGGGGGGCAGGGCGGCGTCCAGGGGGGGAGGTGCCGACGCCGTGCGCGCGTCGCGATGGGAGGTGGAGGGAGCGCTGGGCTGCTGGGGAAACGTTGCGGGCGTGCCAGGGGGAGGGGCGGTGTCCTGGGGGAGGGGGCAGGTGGGGGGGTGTGCCTGTGCCGTGCGTGCCGTGCCGAAGTAGAGTGGTCGAGGCGGAGGGCTCGTTGGGCTGCTGGGGGACATTTGGAAGGTGTGGGACGGGGGGTAGTCTCCTGAGAGAGGGGGCGGGCAGTCTCGTGAGAGGGGATTGGAGGCATCGGGAGGAGTAGTCGCAGGAGAGGCCTGAGGATGAGAAGGGAATCGAGAGAGTGTGTGGTAGAGGAAATGGACAAGAGTGACAGGGATCCACAGGGATCAATCCACACATACAAATATATGTAGAGAGAGAGAGAGAGTGAGAGAGAGAGATAGAGAACGGCATTAGAGGGAGAAGTGACAAACATGTGTATAACATGGACATATATATATACACACACACCTGGAGGGAGATGACGGGAAGGAGGAGGAGGAGGCGGAGGAGGAAGAGCATCAGGAGAGGTGCTGGAGTATCTGGAGGCGGAGGTAAGAGGTAGGAGGGGAGAAGGGGAGGAGCATCGGGTAGGAACAAGAGAGGGTAAGATGGAGGACGAGAGAAGTGATGATTGGACGATGAGGTAATGTTGAGCAGGGAGTAGCACTCATATTATCTTCATGTGGGACGAGGTGAAGTAGGATGATGTAGGAGCGAGGTGTCAGGGGGGAGGAGCGAGATGGGCAGCAGGGGGGGAGGAGGGCGGAGGGAGCGAGAGGGAGGAGTTGGAGGAGAACGAGGAGGACGCCGAGGCCAGCACGAGCTTCGTCGAGGAAGCTGCGGAGCAGATCTCCGCCGCGTTCGAGTCGGTCGAGGTCGGGGGCCCAGGGGACGCCCAGTTCCCGTACGGGAGGTTCGCGTCGTGTCGAGCTGCGGCGACCCTGCCGCTGGCGTTCAACGTGGAACGCCGCCGGCGACCCAGAGGCGGTCGATGTTGAACGATACGACGTTTTGGAAACGGCCGACCGTTCAAGAAGGAACGATCCCCGCAGCGTAGGGCGACGAGACGTACACATATCCATGGACCCGGGCCAGGCCCATCCTAGGCCCAGGAGCTGTGCATAGATGCCTTCTCCTGCTCCTCCTCCTCCTCCTCCTCCTCCTCCTCTGGGCCCAGGAGGGGCCTGGCCAGGAGGGCCCCGATCGCTTAAGGTTGAACGATCCCCGTGGTGTCAGAAAAACCAGTGCTGAAGTCGGCGATGCACGAGCCCGCCGTTGGTCTCGCTACCCCTCCTCCCCTGACCCTCTAGGAGGGCCAACAAATAGCATCGGGGCCTCTGAATTCAGTCTCTGGTTGCTCCCCTGTTGCAGGACCGCCCCTCGGCCGCAGCAACTCAGGAGGGAAGTATTGGGGGAACAAGTAGGTCCCCCCAACAGATCGGCAACTATTGGAATCGGCAACTAGCTCGAGCAATCTATGTGGTGCACTTCGTGGGGCTAGAACATGTGGTGCAACATATGCTGCGCAATGCTGGTTGTGCAATATTGATGATAGTAGCGCTGATGGTGACAAGGGTGACGATGCCGACGGAAAGGCCAATGCCGGCGCCGATGCTGATTATGCCGATGACGATGATGGTGTCTTCGCACTGGCGAGGAAGGCTCCGGAAGGGTTTTGACATGCGCGCGCGGCCGACGCGCGCGAGAAGCCCGTGTGATATTTTTCACATGGGTCGTGTCCCCCCCAAGCGCGCGCAAGGGCGTTCGAGTGATTTGAAAGAGCGCTCTTTGTGGTCGTTTGTAGGGCCCCTTCCCCAATTCGGAATCGAGGGGGGGGAAGGAGAGGGGGAACTGTCCCCCCCGCCCGGCAAACCAAAGCTGGGTGGGTGGGGGGACGACCAGGGAGAAAACTGGAAGATTACCCACCAGGGAATCGGCGGGTCTCGAGGGGGATTCGGCGGGTCTCCCGAGGCCAAGATCCCGTTGAGCCTGCATTGAATGGAGATTTGCCAGAGATCATTGTGAAAAGCCCCATGAAGAAACAATGCGTCGTCTTCCATCGGGGACGGGTGGAGGGGAAACAGCAGGTAACGCATAGGAAGTCATCATGCTGAACCGTACGGTTCAGAGGAGGTAGAGGTGGAGGAGGAGGAGGAAGATGACAAAAAGGAAATGGAGGAGGGCTACGAACAATCGAGAGGGTGCGAGTCAGGAAGGCGTAAAAACGCGTCTGGGTGGCGTAACTGCGACGCAGGGCGCGCTCCCAATAGGGGGGTATTTCCGAGAGCAGGCATATGAGGAGGTGGAGGAGGAGGAGGAGTCGGAGGAGGAGGAGGAGGAGGAGGGAGGAGGAGGAGGAGGAGAAGGAGGAACAGTATACACCCAAGACGCTCCAACGATGTTGGAATACATTCTCCCTCCGAGCTCCTTTGTCTTAGGCCGTCCTTCCAAGCTCATTCCTCATAGTCCCCATTTAAAGCGTCATTTCCACACATGGAACTGCCCCGTCGGAAGAACAGAGGGGAACATCCTGGAGCGCGCCAAAACAGAATTTCCACGACCTCAACGGCACGCAGCCTGCATGTTGCGTCTTGGCGATTTTGACATGTGCTAGAACACCCCTCCTGGGATTCCAGCACGTCGAGTTAACGTAATTGTTGCGCCCTGACAATCCTGAACCGCTCCAGAACACCAAGCCTATTACGTTCACCATGAGAACTAGTCTAACTCTTGCATATGCTTGACATTGATTATGAGGAAGAGGGGGGAAGGAGGAGGACGGGGAGGACTAAGAGGAGGAGGACGAGGAAGAGGAGAAGGAGGACGAGGAGGAGGAGGACGAGGAGGAGGAGGAGGAGGAAGTGGCGGAGGAGGAGGAGGAAGAGGAAGAGGGGGGACCAGTGTAAACCCAATATCCATCAACAATGTTGTAACATACCCTCCCTCCAGTCTCCTTTCTCATAGGCCCCGTCAAGGAGTACTTTCCACTGAAAAGTGTGCCCCGTTGAGAGTCAACCGAGCCAGAACCGTGCCACAACACCATGACCTGAATCGTGCCATAACACCTTTCTTGGGATTTCAAGACAGGGAATCCGAGTAACTGTTGCGCCTTGGCAATCTCGAACCGCTTCCCAATACAACTCCTGGTACGTTAGCAAGGATAATTCATAAACTGTGTTGCGAACGAACGTGCGCAGCGAAGGCGAGATCCTCGTTTTGAAAAGGAACCGCCTTCAATCCGTGCCTGTTATGCAATGTTTGAAAACGAATTTCCGCGGCGCTAGGGCGAACGCCACATGTTGAAAGCCACGGTCCTCAATCCGTGGAAGTCTTGCGAACTTTTGAAACAAATGTGCGCGGCGCTGAGGCGAACACCACATTTCGAAAATCACCCGCCCTCCATATGTGAACTATTGTCGGCCTTCAAGCCTCAGTGTGCATAAGTGGTAAAAGGATGCCTCAGGCGAAACGCCTGGCCCGCCCTTCGGAATGGCCTCGGGGTGCGGCAGGGAGGGGTGACTCAGAAGGAAAAGGAATGGAGGAGGAGGAGGAGGAGGAGGAGGAGGAGGGGGAGGAGAAGGACAACGAAGAGGAAGCCGGCTTGGGTCCTCTTGGGGGCATTTTGGGGTCCTCTCGGGGCATTTGGGGGGCCTCTCGGGGGTTCCTGGGCCCCTCTGGGGGCCTCCTGGGAGCCTGTTGGGGAGGAAGGCTCGGATGTTCGGTTCGTGCGCCTTCTCTTGGACACCTTCTGGGGCCGTCTTGGGGCGCGTCACTGGGCAGCGGTAGGGCGCCTGCCTGGGTTCTGCAGGCCCTGGCGCGGGAGAGCGCCTGCTAGCAGGCGAAAGGCGGCATATAGTAAACTGCTCCGTCACCGGGGGGCGCGTCCCCGGGGCGGCTGGAAAGTTCATACCTTGGCGCGCCGCCGTAAGGGCATAGAAACTTTCCAGCCGCCCTGGGGCAGGCGCCCCCGACAGCGAAAGAGTCAATGCTATACCCTTCTGGACCCTGCCGCTTCACCTCCTCGCTCTGCGATATTATTTGTTGGCTCTGGCGCGTCTCCGCGCGCCTGCGTGGGGCCTGGCGAAGGACGCGCCCAGCGGCGCCATTGGGACGCGATCGGCCCGCGCACATACATTTTCACACGCAGCATTCGGTCGGGAATGTCCTCCTACAGGCGCACTTTGGAGGAAGAGTTGAAAATAGTGAAAAAGTTCAAGCATAGCCAAAAATAGTCCAAACATCGCCCCCCGATGATTTTTGAATCATTTTTGATATACCCCCCGTAGAAGGGACGTGCCCGACTTACACATAGCACGGGTAACATGGAATTCTTGTACGAGATGGAAGGCAGCCGCTAGCAAAATCAGCACGTGTCTCAAGAAGTACGTGGGGAATAGTGTGGCCAGCCTGCAAGAAGTTCCGGCTTGGGGGATTATCAGTGGTTTCGCTTAGAGCGGCCATGCTGTATTAGTTACTGATAAGTGTGATTGCGCTATTATCATTCCCAGACCTTGGATGTCGGAGTGCCGGAAGTCACCATTGGATCGTATTGGTCTGGTGTCGTGTCTCACCAGCCTGTCTTCATCACATAGTCTAGACCACCTTGCAGAGGATGAAGTGCCAGCAAGGTCTTCCAGGGCACCGTCGATTTTGTGCACGACACTCGTAGTGGCAATCAGCGCGTTGATTATCAAGTCGTGGTAGGGCTTGATGCACATGTTCAGTTGCCAGCTAATGATGAAGGCCTGACGGGCCCACTGGTGTACAAGCGGAAACGGTAATATCCCCTAGAGCTCGTCCGTGTGACACCGTCGTGGTCGGTTGCGCTTAGCGTGCGGGCCAGCGACTTTCCCTGAAGCAGGAGATGGTGTTCTTGCGCTGCCTCTCTGGAGCCGTGGCGCGAAACACCATCCGGAGTCGAGGTCGCAAGTCGATGATCAGTGTACGTCGCCTGGCTTGGTGGGATTTGCGCGGGTGGCTCTCCCCCGGAAGAAGGTTTCCCACAACTCGGATCATCGACCCGTGGTGGGAAGTTCTCGTTTTTCCAGGCTGTGGGGGAGGGGGTTCGACCGTCAAGGGGGGATCGTAGGATGGATGCCGTGCAACGAATCGAGTTTGGACCAGTGCCGTCTCAATTGCGCAGGGCATCGAGAGTGTGATTTGTCTGGCATGCAGGCTTGTTTTCTGGAGTCCGCGTCGACCGTCCAGCACGACACCCGCCGAAGGAAACGTTCCGTTTTGGGGAAGTCCCTTCAGCCAGAAGGTGAAGCAAACTAAGAGTTTTCGTGGCAAACGCTACAGCGGAGACCCGGAAGGAGACCGTTAATCAGTTGAGGCGAATATGTCGTAACGTTATGCGGGGACCAGGCGCGAGTCAGTTGGTCAAGTTGTCGAGTGCCCGGCAGCAGATGCCGATTCCTGTTTCGTTTCCAGTGTCACGACAGTTGGCCGCCGACAGAGTCTTGTGGAGGGCGGGCTTGGAAGACTTTCGGGAGCGGCGATTCGGGGATCCAAGGAACAGCGCTGTACAGCAAAATCTCCAGCTAGACTTTCTTGCAGGCGTGCGACGGAGTGCGAGATTTCATGGGCGCGCCCTTCCTGGTTTAGAATTATTACACGTCGTCTATGGCAAGGAGGGCATTAAATTTGGGACTGCCGCCGGGTTGGACGGCGCGCCGCCGAACATCTACAAAGTTTTACCTCTTCCTTCCGTCGACAGGATTTTGCAAGTATCTCAAACGCGGCAGTTATACAATGATTCTGAAGATCCGCCGACTGGGAAGATCATCGAATACATTGGCATCCCCACATTGACAAAATCCACGTGAGCTCGATGAGTTGCGATGCGCATGGAAACGGGATTGCTTTGGGAAGTG